CGCCCTGGTTCATTTTTTCGTGATAATAATTTCCTTTGAAAGCGCTTTAGCCAAAAATTGAGTCGTAGTTTTTAAAGGCATAAGGCACGATAATCATACTTGATGAAAAATGCTAGCAGGGGCTATCGAATGGGAAAGTGGCGAAAAAGCGAAGTGAAACGGCCAAAAACCTGCGAAGAAAAGCCTTCGTTTCAAGACCCCCGAAAGTAATCTCGGACGAGTTTCCTGTGGGCATCGTGCTAGTAACCGCTATGGTAGATACGGCTGCATATGTACTCATATATGAATGCAGCACGGCAGCCATTTCATACAATCCCTTCGCTTCATATTTCACTTCGCAAATGAAGCAATACGAGCATCAGGTATAGTCGTCCATTTATGGGCGGGCGCACGCGGATCGGTATGTTGCAGCTTGGTAGAGCCTGCGCCTGCTCAGGGGCGTGGAATTCCGTCCTGGCGTATCAATCCTACTCGTCTTAGAGATTTATCGAGCCAACTGCCTTTCAGGTGCACGTATTTCCTCTGCACCCTGTATATTAGGTCGTGCCAAAAATAATGACCGTTTTCGTACCTGCTGTTCCATTGATCATAATTCATTGAGAACTTAAGCTAATATAGTAATACCAGTCCAGGATCGCCCGGCTGACGCCGAGCTCTCCTCCTTCTCTTTAGCTCGGCTTCGCCGAGCTGGCCTGGCTTCGCCAGGCGCGCTCCATAATTTTTAACTTTTTCAACGGTGGGCTGCTTATACGGCGCTGTAGTGATCGAATCGCAACCGATAGAGCAAGGGTTGGGATCGTGTACTACTTAGCACACGCTTCTATTTGCAGCAGGGGTGTGCTCCGCGCCATAATGCCCACACAATACATAAATCTGTATTGCCCCCCGCGCTCGTTATATATAGTAGGATACTTCCGTGTTGTCCCCTATTACATCCTGTGCCCATTGTCCTAATGTAACGCTGAAATCTATCCTTTTGTCCATTCTTTTCTCGGGGTTAGTACCAAAATCTTCATAACCCTCACACGAAAATTCAGCAGCTTGTAAGAGCAGCCTTCGAAGCATCCTACCGTTCTCCACCACTGTAGGGTTTTTTCTGGAATGCCCTCCCGCATTCGGCAGTCTTGCGCTTCGAATGGTCCTCTCTCGGGTTGTTGATGGAAGATAATCATGGTCATAGTGATAAAGTTAGTTGCTGCAGTTCATGGCAACTGAGTAAACAACCGTCATGCATCTGAACTCCAGTTGCTTTAGCGGCCGTACATGATGTCAATAACGATAAAGCATAGGAGTGAGTTGTGTGCGAACTACTGAGAGCCTGATACCTGGGTCATATCAATCGCATTGTGGTTGTAAGCGGTGTTGCGGATTTCCGCATGATGACTTTCAACTCTTATCAGTCACTCACCCGTTCAGTGGGTGTCCGCCCCTCCCCCTATACCACTTTTTGAAGCCAAGGTCCCACAGACCCTGCAACCTGCCCTACGAATTTGGTGACCCTCCGCATCTGAGGTCCCTTATCAAATCTTATCATATGTTATTAGATTCTGTCACGTCCCTCCTGGTATACCATCTCGGAACCATGGTCTCAATTCACTGCAGCCGATATTAGGAATTTGGTGACCCTCCGCGTCTAAAGTCCCTTATCGAATCTTATCAGATGTTATCAGCTTCTGTCACACACCAATTATGTCCACTTCCCTTCCCCTACACCAATTCTCGAAATCAAGGTCCCACGGTTGCTGCACTGCACTAAGAATTTGATGACACCCGCGTCTAGGGTCCCTTATCGGATCTTATCAGATGTTATCAGCTCCTGTCAGCCCCAGCTATCAGCTCTTGAAATCACGGTCCCGCAGCTGCTGCAACTTGCCACGAATTCGGTCACCCTCCCCTTCTAAGGCCCCTTATCAAATCTTATCAGGTGTTATCCATTCTGCACTCCCACCCAATCATGTCCATCCCTTCCCCTGTACCACTTCTTGAAATCACGGTCCCGCAGCTGCTGCAACTCGCGCTACGATTTCGGTCACCCTCCCCTTCTAAGGCCCCTTATCGAATCTTATCAGGTGTTATCACCTCCTGTCACCCACCAAAAGTGTTCCCGTCCTGCCTGTATATCACTTCTTGGAACTGTCATCCTATCTTTTCTGCGACGCTCGCTATGAATTTCGTGACAGACAGACAAAACAGACACACACACACAAACACACGCACACGGACATAGCGGGTTATATATAGAAGGATAATACATCGTTCGGAAGCACATTTTTCAAGCTATCGTACAAATTTTTTCCCGTTTCTCTGCCACCATTTCTTCTACGATTTTGGGTCACCCGCGAAGATGTTGTCAAGACGCGAAATCCGACTCATCATGCTTCACGAGTACAAACTCGGCCGTAATGCTGCGGAAGCAGCTAGGAATATCACCAACGCATGGGGCGAAGGTACTACAAATGAGCGCACCACGCGTAGGTGGTTCGACAAATTCCGAAATGGAGACTTCAACCTGGAAGATCAGGAGGGACACGGTCGGCCATCGAAAGTTAAAGACGACGAATTGAATGCACAGGTAAAGCATCCAGAAGGGAAATTGCTGAAGAGCTGGGAGTTGACTTCGGAATTGTAGCACGTCATTTGAAGAAAAGAAAAAAAAACTCGACAAGTGGACCAGCAATCTTGTCGTCTCGACGTCTGTTCGTCTCATCTTTTGCGGAACAAAAACGATCCTTTTCTGCAACGCATTGTGACGTGTGACGAAAAATGGATTCAATACGACAATAGACGACGGTCAGGACAGTGGTTGGATCACGACGAAGCTCCTAAACATTTACCAGATCCGGAGTTGCACCAAAAAAGGTCATGGTGACAGTCAGGTGGTCTTCATCCACCACAGCTTCCTGGCTCCAGGAGAAACCATCACAGCGGAGAAGTACTGTGAGGAAATCGAAAAATGCACCAAAAATTGCATCGGATTCAGCCGGCATTAATCAACAGAAAGGGCGCGATCCTACTCCATGACAACGCCCGACCGCATGTTTCATTGATGACAACAAAAAAACTGATGGAGTTGGGATATGAAACTCTCGACCATCCTCCATACTCACCAGACCTTTCCCCTACGGATTATCACTTTTTCAAGCATCTCGAAATTTTCTTACGCGAGAAATGCTTCCGAAACCAAGACGACGTAGAAAAGGCATTCAACGATTTCGTCGATTCCAGAACTCCAGAATTTTATGCTGCCGGAATATCTAAACTGCCTTCTCGTTGGCAGAAATGTGTTGATTCTTTTGGTCGTTATTTCGATTGAAAAGCAACACTTTGAAGCGAGTTATGATATTTTTAAAATATTTGCTTCAAAACGGACATTATTTCTGCCACGACCTGATAGTACGTGCTGTGACACTCTGCTGAACCCTCCCCTCTGTTGTTCGCAGAAAGCGTTTCAATATGAAAGGTAAGTTCGAAAAATTCTTCTCCAGAATCACTTCATTTCCGAGAAACTAATGAATCAATGCAGATATTTACACGCATAGAATGTTCTGTAACCATCGTATGAATGAACAGAGAGACTAGAACGTATGGCGGCTATACAATGCGAAACGAAAAGCTGCATGAAAGGCCAGAGCTCAGAAGACTACTGCGACGACAAAGTGCGAGCTTCAACAGGAGACAAAATCGTGCAGAGTTCCTAATTTGCTGATCACCAGATGTATGAAATGGACCCATTAGCGGGCAAGTATGGACAATAAATATGAACCGAAAAAGCTGGAAATGTCGAGTGATAGCGAAAGAGGGTTGAAAAACGTAAGTCAACTGGAATCGTGCACGCACCAACACTAAACACACCTCATTACAGATTTTAGATAGCTGCATTATTGAGGGTCATAAAGAGGAGAAAGCAGATCACACATTGCATTCATAACTGAACAGCTCTACGCCGACAGATGGCTGTAAATAGCAGAAGCGGGGGTCACACGTGTTGTTCGTTTACTCGTAAATTTGGGCTTTAGTTTAAGAGAGAAATAGTAACACTATCAATAGTGAAGGTTCTTTCATTCCCTGGGGTCCATCAGACATAGTTCAATGAAGAGTCAATCGCATGAAAGACGGACGTAAAACTGTTCCGCAGAAATGAAAAGGATAACTAGACCGGGGAAAACGAAGGACAGGGAGATAGACCGCCAAGCGGTGTGATGACGGTGGGAACGATCCCGTGCTTATGAAGAAGTACAAGTAGAAACATTGAAATAGATAGAAGGAACAGAGATTGCACTCATATTGCCGCGCTGTGCGCCAAAAATTGGAAACCAAAGAACTAATGTATACCAGTGAAGTAAAGATAAAGCTAAGAAGGAGGAAGAAGTGACGCATGTGTGCTCTCAAGCGGTTTCAACCAAAATACGAGCACGCTGCATCACCTCATCACGATCGGATGGTGGAAACCAGTGTCTGATACAGTACTCGATAAGGTAGGCAAGCATAATGTAAGCTGCTGTCAGTACGCACAATACAATCAGGTACTTCAGAATGAGTACGGGAAAGATGGAGCGCTCCAAGACGACACTGCACAGCGGGAGCTGAAGAGAAAGCAATTATAGAAAGTTTGGAATAGCAGGGCTATATCGACGACTCACCGATTCACGAGCGATTATTGAGCACATCAGTTCATTCATGAAGCCACTGGTGGAGACGAGGCGGGAGGCTGCGTGAAGGGATGGCTCGATGTAGGTGGTCAAGTTCGTGGCGATCAGCAGACGAGCACCAAGAAGGAATGGGAGAGATAGTAGCGCTACCATATCCACCACATATACCTGCAATACTCAGTAAGTACTCAGGCTCAAATCCAACCATATCAACATCTTGTTCAAAGAAACATTCAGCAACACAATAAAAGCCTTGACACAATATGCACTTTATAACCCGAAGACGGGTAAGGCGTGGCTGCGTGTCTCATTTGCGTTGTTCGTGGTCTATTGCACTTGGGATGACTAGTACTCTGCCTTGTGCCTGTGCTGGACAAAGCATGGTAACAATCGTCTAGAAGTGGCAATATTCCACAAAAAAGCAGCTTCTGCTACGGAAGGACATCCACGCCCTCCCCTCTTTCGGCATAGAAGTGTATAAGAGAATAGCTAGCTAACTACAAGCCCGTGAAATCAGCAAATTTTCATGCGGAATGTGTTCGCTACAGTCTCGTTCGCTGCGGATGATAGGGCGTGACAAGGGAAGATGAGTCTGGTGCGGTGCCAGCCCGTCTCTATTCTTTTTTCTTTCAACACGCTACAAGACATTTCATGTCGTTCGTATCAGTCGCTTTCCACCGATTCTTGTTGCTTACCCGGCTCAACAAGTGGTGGAGAACGGGCTGGCAGCCGACCGTACCCAGCTTCACTGACGCGCCCCAACAGCGAACAAGACTGTACTACAAAAAAAGCGATATATTGCAGAACAGAAACCAAAATGTCCCAGTTTTCTGCTTTTCAGGAAAGGTGAACCAGAAGAAATTTCAGTAGTACTCACCACGGTCTTCGTTACTCGACTCATTTGATTCCAGTATGAATTGTAGAAGAACAAGATGATGGCACTGGTTGATAGCGATGCGCACATCGCACCGACAGTCATCCACAGGTTCTTCTTGTACTGAAAAATGAAGGAATCTACGAAATTGCCTTCAGAAACCATGAGAAATCAGAACTTTTGGCAGTGGTCGGTTTGAAGGGGGGGGGGGGTGAGAGGAATATTTTGCAATTTCGCTACTTTTTGTTGCCAGCTTCATATGGATTATATGTCGCACCTTGGTGAGACCAGTCACTTTTTTAGCTTCGCAGTGGCCGACAAGACTCAACTCAACCTGCCTATTGAAT